CAGGGATAAGCGGATCATTGATGTATTCTTTAAATTCGTTCTACAATGCCGCGTTTCGTGACGCATTGTTGCTTCTATCCAACGGCATCGCTAACGATGGATTCAACACAGACCCATAACTAAATAAAACCAAGAAGCATAACTTGAAGCCTTGGAAAAATAACACTTTGGGACTTAACGTGCGATATTCTTGTAGACTTAACAATGCACTACGATACTATCATTACATTTCAAAATGTTGCAGAAGCAATCCCTTCCACTGAGCGCAGGTACTGTCAATGCATTGACACAAACACGCCCGGTGTCATCACGAGCCATGCTTCGTTTGCCACATATCGGTGCTGCTTTGTTTGCCACATGTCGGTGCCGCTTTCCGTCTTGTCAGGGCAGGCGAAACTGCCTAGACAGTACCAGACAATGGAGATAATCCTTGCCCTGTTACGGTACAATGCGATGCGAGGCAATTATAGCATTGCCTCGTATTGTTTCGTATTGTCTTGTATTGGGGCGTTCCAAAACTCATCCAGCAGGGTGTGCAGGATGTGACTAAGAATTCGTGGTACAATAATCCTAGCTCTCCGACGGCCTCCGCACGCCATTCGTTGGCACTAGTACGTTGCCCTTTGAACCCGAACCTATACATCTGACCTGCCCAGCCCGCTAGTCAAGCCTGAGGCGCTTAAATTCTTGGTAAGCAGCTGCCTGGTTTGATGCTGACTCACCGATTTTAAGCAAGGGGAGCGGCAACGACAGTGAGCCCCGAGTCAGGGCGTATAGCATGAAAAGATATCGACATCCCTGCCACCCAAGTTGGACGAAAATTGGAGCACTGTTGTATTGTCACGGGACGAATCTCCCAGTAAGAATATCAACTCCGAGGGGTTGACCGCTCGGATGGCGCGGTTGGTTAGTACACGTGCCAATGTAGGTGAGGGGCGTTTGGTTCAAGCCTGAGTGGTAGGCTTTCCTCGACCGACTCCAAACCAGAAGATGGCAGCGGCTGGGCAGTGGTCTCACCGCCGCGGGATTTATGCAGCGCCAGCAGGCGTTCGCAGTGGTGGGTTCACGACATGGTCTGTCTTACCTTTGACGCAGCGTATCGCCCTGAACTAATGGAGCTGTCCCCTGATCCGGGATAGGTCTGCTGTGTGCACACGTGTTACAGCGGGCATCCTCACAGAAAGGGCGTGGTCAAGATTCTCTCGCAAGGGCGCCCAACAAATGAAATCTCTGCCGCGTGCAGTGCGTGCGTGCCTGTGTCTGTACATGCAACCAACCAAAAAATGACCCAGGATGGGGCACTGAACAAGCCGAGAGATCTCGGCGCATGGCGACAAGGTCCCGGTCTCGTGTTTTCACTCGACGGTAGACACAGGCTGGACGCTGAGCGGGTTAGTTTACAGCGGCGGCGGGCCATTCCACGCGCCGCCAGCGCCATTAGATCGTCGATTTCGACTGGCGGGGGCCGGCCATTGAGCGGGCTGAAAGGAAGGCCTCGGGAGGGCAGCTGTCCGGTGGCGACTGAAGGGGCTCACGCCTCGCTGGGAAACATGCAGCGATGCATTTATCGTCGGAGTCGACGGCGAAAGCGACCGCGGTCATGTGGACGATAGCTGGTTTGTGCTGCCTCGCTGCCCGTGGGTGCACTCGACGTTGCAGACGACAGCTGGCTTATGATGCGTCGCTGTCCATTCGTGCATTCCACGCACTCAAATTTCGATACCAAATATCAGTGGCGACAAGCTTACACTACTGCGGGGGAAAGAGTGAGTGTGAGTTCGTTGGGCTGAGGCAATGCAAATTACAAAGCAATCTAACTGGGTTGCGTAAGAGTGGCTGTGAGTTCGTTGGGCTGAGGCAATGCAAATTACAAAGCAATCTAACTGGGTTGCGTAAATTGCCTTTCCAGGAACATGAGCATTGGACATCTCTGATTAAGGGCGGAACCTGCCCATAGAGAGCCATATCGTAAGCATATTATTGCAGAGCTCATAGCGAGATGAGTGGGTGGGCTGCTCTCCATGGTACGCAGCTAGGTTTGAGTTGAAATTGATTTATCCGTTTGAAGCCGCATTTCTAGGCGATGCGGGACCGCTTAACGTAAAAAGATTCGACAGCAGAAGTCAGGGCATATTTTAGGAAACGTTCGCTGGGAAGTCAAGCCTGGCGACCGGGGAAAGTAGAAAGAGGACTTAGCCCGCTCTTTACGTATGCAAATGTGTGAGGTCCTGTCTGCCGCGTCCGCGGATGGGGTTTGGTGTGCTTGTGCGTGTGCGTGCGTGCGCGCGCGCGCGCGCATGTGTGTGTGTGTGTGTGTGTGTGTGTGTGTGTGTGTGTGTGTGTGTGTGTGTGTGTGTGTGTGTGTGTGTGTGTGTGTGTGTGTGTGTGTGTGTGTGTGTGTGTGTGTGTGTGTGTGTGTGTGTGTGTGTGTGTGTGTTATTGGGGTTTTAAGACTCACTCGACTGGTGAGGCCAGAGTGGCGTCGCCTGCCTCTCACCCCTGGCGGGAAGGCCGGGCACCGTGAGAAGACAGCGTTCGATTCTCGGGGGGAGGGGAGTGAGAACACATATTTGGGGACCAAATTGCCGGAACAATCTGATCATCGCTGTCGCCACGGTGACACCCCAGGTCCCAGAAGAGCACAGCACCCTGCTCAGCCCTCTCTCCGCTCCCCAGGACGGGACGCACAGGCCAACTGTCCTGGTCGTTGTTGGGTGCTGGTGCCCTGTTGACCTGGTTTGTTGGTGGGTCCTCATGCTCTAATGACCTGGTTTGTTGGTGGGTCCTTGTGCCCTGGTGGCTTAGTTTGTTGGTGTGTCCTGGTGTGCTGATGACCTGGTTTGTCGGTGGGTCCTGATGCTCTAATGACCTGGTTTGTCGGTGGGTCCTGGTGCCCTGGTCACCTGCCAGTTCGCCCGAGGACTCGGTTTGAAGACATGCCACGCGCCGCTCTGACGTACCACTTCTCACTTCGTTACGTTCTTAATTCTGAAGCCCGCTCGCCAAATGTCAACCGCTGCGGCCGCGATGCTCAACACGGCTGCTCTCTGTCGCGTCCGTTTGGGTGACAGCCGTTCAGCGGCTCACTGCGAGCGTGCGCCGCCCCACCAGGCGCGAAGCAAGATAAGCCGTCACTTCTCGCTGACGGAGCACGCTGAAGTGCAGCGTTCGGCGATGCGATCCCGGCCGCAGCCGAGACTGACACCGACGCCCACCAATGGCGCATGTGGTACGGCCGTCGGGTTTGCCGCAGCGACCTGGGCCACGTGCGCCGTCCCACTGGAGGCGTGCGTACTCGCCCGGGTCAAGGCTGGCACAACATCTCAGCATCGGTGCAATCGAGTGCTCAACGACAAAGTGGCTGGTGCATGACATCCCCTTGTCGTAGACTGTGCTGGAAATGCGTTTCGAAGTCCGCATCTGTGATGCTTAAGCGATGTGCCTTTCTAGCTTAGTCCATTTCGTCCTTGTGACTGCGGCGTTGGTCGAGCTAAATATATCCTGAGCAATTTTTTCAGCGGTGCACACTGAAGACTATTCCTCGTGGCTCATATCTCGTACCAACGAAAATGACTGTCATTTTTTGAAAGAAATTGAGCAAAAAGTCTTCTTCATCTGCGTTTTTTATTCGTTGTTTTGCCCGTCGATACTGATGCACCGTGAATTTAGACTGCCTGACCCGGCATAGCACGAACAGTAAACTCGCGCCATTTGTCTGTTTCAAAATGGCCTGCGTGATATCATTCGTGATGACCGAAAATGTAGATTTGTTTTTGTAACGATGGCTTCTTAAAGCCTTGAGCAATCCAATTTTAGAATCGGTTGTTGAAAGCTTACTGCGGTTTGCAACCAGCAGAGCTGCCTGCTGCACTAGCACTGTGATGGCCCTTTGACCCTATGATCGGTTATCGATAAGATGGCATATTCCATGTGCAGCGCAGGCAGCTAAAAATGCTTTGCTCCCATGCAGTTGGGGACAATCTAGCCGGCGGCCAAAGCTTTGTCTTTCATGGCCACAAGCGAACGGGTATTGTAGAAGCGCCAGTACCAGACTCTGCACTATGTGCACTTCCCCGAGAGCGGGATTGGGAGGTCAGCGAGCCACCGGACCAGCTCCATCGCTTCCACTAACACCTCTCACCTCACTCCAACTTTATACCCTTACCTGGAAGCTTAACCGAGCCCGAACATTCGCCTTCAGCTGTCTTCATCAATCTCCTCGTCTGGTTTTCAATTCTAACGTTAGGCACGTCACACGCAAAGTTTTATAACTTAGACCTTACTGGTTAATGGTTGTTCATCGGACATGAATCTTTTTAAATTTTACAGGAAACCTTTCGCCACCTTAAATCGGCAGTAGTTCAACTCAACCAATAAATTTCGGATGTATATAGCTTGTTAGACCCACCTCACTCTTCCACGGAAACAGCAGTTGTGTCGTAGTCAGTGCACAAAATACTTCGCCAGAACCTCGGTAAGAAAATACTCAGAATTTCCGGTTACGAAATGGTAAGCAATTGAAATCCGCCAGCCAACTACCAGGAACACACGGAGATACTTGCGTTGTAGTTCAGACCACTTGGCTGGCGTGGTCAGATTCAATATATATATATATATATATATATATATATATATATATATATACGAGGATTCGGACCCAGTGTTCGCTATATATAAATCCAAATATAACCAGGATCCGGCCCTAGCGTGCCGCGGCCCAATAATTCACACGACGCAGTTGCTCGGCGGGTGCCCGGATCGGCGTCACCAGCCAGCCGGCAGCGGCGGCCTGCACGGCCCAGCTGGGCTCGGCGGAGCCGGCCGGGCCGGCTGCGAGCCCGGGAGAGCTGCTGCTGGAGCTAGCGGCCCGGGCGCGGCAGAGCGCGGCGCCCCGCCCGGGCAGAGCGGCGGCTCGGCGGCGCGGCCGGGCGGCGCGCGGCGGCCGCCGGCCGGCCCGCGCCCAATCGATCTCCCAGTCATGGCTGACGACTCCAGCATCCATGGGGGATAAGATACCCGTCTCGGCTCAGGACAGCACGGCCCAGCTGCTGACCCCGCTTGACCTCGGGTCGCGGCCGAATGGCGAGGTGGAGGTCCGCGCGGCCGCTCGCCATCACAGGTGGGTGGCGGTGGCCCGGCCGACCGCTCCGGCTCGGCCGCCGCACACTCGGGCGCCGCGTGCCGGCAAGACAAAGGAGCTGCCGCGGTTTAGACTAATTAGCAAGCACGAGGATGAGTGATGAAGCGACTTAATGAAAAGGAAGGGAGTTGTGTGTTACTCCCCGACTGCTGGCGTGCACTTTGAGCCTCACGAGCGCGTACAGCACAATATTTAGGAAATAATGTTATTAAATGCTGTGTCTTGTTCACTTTTGAATTAAACGAGTTCTCAAGCTGAATCGTTCTTCCCAGCGATTATATTAGGAAACAGTGTACGGCAGGGCACGCTAATACGCTGATGCGGGCAGTGGCACGTTGATATGCTGATTCAGGCAGTGACACACTGGCACGCTGACTAATAAAAAGGTTTCCATACACGTCGATAAACGTTGCGCCATGTATACATTTGTAGAGTCAATACTTTTTTACTGTGCTTGGTAGCTGACAAAAGATAATTTCGTATTTATTTGCCGCTCTCCGGGACGTGACTCTAATTGTTGATGCATGACTGGTCCGGAACAACCTCTAGACTGTAGGCTTATGTCAGGTCGGCGTTGACTTAATTATTCGCTTATCTGAAGCTTGCTCAGAATTATTTGCTGATCTGAAGCCTTCGGGCGCAGAAAAGTCATCATAGTGATCAGCTGTCTGTCAATGAATAATATAGCGTGCATTGGCTAGTTACCTGTCTTTGGCTGATGCAGTTCGAGCACCATTCGCACTATTTCCGCACCAGGTGGTGATGTCACACGACAACATCCAAAAAAGAATAGCAAGTGGGGCTAGCCCGAATACTAGAGCTCTCAGCGTGTGGTTCAAACCCAGCGCGATGACATAGACACGCCAAAGATTCATGCATCAATGCATACACGTGCATTCAGTCATTTGAGCACACTTGCTAAAAATACAACAGTGGCTTAGTAAACTTTTATCAACTGCTTACTAGCAAGTAATTAACTTTTAGGCGCTCCGATGCTGTCTTCAGCTTTCAACATTGAGTTTTCGTCATGTAAGCGAGGAGAGATATAAACACACGAAATCATATCGACAAAGATGTCAGCCCATTGAAAACTTTTCACGACTCGTGTTTCGGACGAATGCGCATCTCTGACTCGTGGAAACCCTGCTATGGCCACTCAAATGCCAGGAAGCTTACCGTTTCTAACGTCTAAAGGGTTCTATAGGGTTCGCCGCAGCTGCAAAAGGCTTCCAACTGACCTAGGTCAAGTGGTGCTCCGAGCCAAGCCGACCAGTGAGGGTGAAACTTCCGTGAGCGGCGGGAAACACCCGCCTGGCTATTACACTTCCTGGAAGATTATATCTTCGTGACAGCTAATCGCGACTTCATGCTATTTTCTGAGGTTAACTAATCTACCTGTAAAGCTTGCTGTCTCTCGCCTAATTTGCGCTCTGGGTTTTCTAAGTGAGAAAAGTGAGTGAGCAATCTTACTTTACTTACCTAAAATTCGTCGATCCAAAAATAGATCGTTGCGTGGAAAACAACGCATTGAATTTTGCAGATGTATTTCCGTGTTGCATTGCATTACATTTGCATTTGTATGCAGATTAAAAGCCGGCATGAGAATGGAACTATGTTAAAAACATAGAATGGGTTCGAATTCGCTGCAAAACCTGTAATGAAAACGGCCTGGTATGCCTGACGAATATGACTCTTCTCTTTCCTTCGCCGTATGTGGTCCGAGACGCAAAAAGACGGTCTTATTCAAAATTGCATGGCCTGCCGCCTGCAAAAGAGAGGCGATGAACAATATTTTGTGTACCCTGACAGAATATATATATATATATATATATATATATATATATATATATATATATATATATATATATGAGCGCAACTGAACTGGCATAACCTTCTCCAACAGACATGTTGATAATGGGATGGGTAGATAAGGTAAAGGTGGGTGACCAGTTGACCTTCTTAAAGAGTGCGACTAGCGTTTTTCCATTACCTGGAAATGTCCCTCCCAGACGAGGAACTGTTGGAAATATGAATATCACATTGAGCAAAATGTTACGCAAGCTTCAAAGCGTTCACCCTCAAACAGTAAGCGCTGTGGGATGCTGCATACCTCTCGTACTGTATATGGCCAGTAGCACTGCATTTATGGTTTGCACCATTTGAATGCTTTTTTAGATATCTAGTCCGGATCTTTTTAATGGAAGAATTCCTGGTAGCAGAGCTCACACTGAGCAGTGCTTCTTGCTCGAGCCCTGACCCCATCTATCCGATCGTGAGATTCAAGGTTAACGACAGAATTGTGTGGTGAAAGTTAAATGTACTGTGATGATTGCCACTGTCCTTCCTGCCCTCTGATGTCACCTAACCTTTAGCGCGGCCACTGCCAGCGGCCGCAGCCCATACTAATCGATAGCAAATGCGACTCGAACCCGCCTCCCCCCCCCCCCCCCCACACACACACGGATGGCTGTATCGGAAGGCAGCTGCTCTAACCAACTCAGCTGTCGGGTCAGATGGACGGATATCAATGGTTTGGTGCATTGTTTAAACTCGACTTTAGCTCTGTTTCATTCAGTACGCATTGTTCCTTTAAACAGGCAATTACGCGCAGTGCACGACACAAACGGCACCAGGTTGTAACGGCCGCGCCTGAGACATTCCATCCCAATCAACCCTGCGCGCCGCACAAAACACTTTCAACATCCGTTTTCCATTTATCTCAGTTATCCTCGCAATGCTCTCATTAAAATAGAAGCTCTATTTGATAGGTGATTTGATAGGTAGGTAGATTTGATAGGTCATAGCCACGCTCCTGCACACCATGCATCTCACAGCTCCTGTTAATTTGTGATTCGGTGACAGAGTTCGCCGGGGAGAATTGTGACACACCTCTCACCATTCCACTCGAAAGACTACGAAGGACATCAACTGTGCGCTGCGTCCCTGCTTGAAAAAAAACAACTTCAAGAGTCTGACGCCGCGTGTACGTGGACGTCCGCGCCCGCTTCCAACACATAATATCCCGATCATAAAAAAACCAGCTGACAGAAGGACCATGCACGCACGCGTCCCGTGAAACTTAGTCAGAAACTTAGTCTTAGTCACTTAGTCAGAAACACATTGTGAAGAGAAGCATTATTCTTTTAAGCTACTGCTTCCGCAAATTTGAACGATACCCTGATCTGGCCTGATCCACGTGGGGGAGCAGAAATGGCCGAAATGAACTCTCCACAGTCTTAACGCTTGTTTCCGTATCCTCGATGTCCGCCTTGACGTTTCACATAGGTTTCAACTGCATCTACCGGAACAGCCGCTGTCGACCTTCCGTGGCCCCTGGTGACCTAAAATTTGGCTGAGGCGAAAAATTGGCATACATTTTTAATTTTGGACGAGGTATTCAAAACGGCACCTTTGTTTTCCTCATACGGCATCTGGAAGTTCCGGGGGAAATTCAACTCCTCCCCCCACGGACAGACGTGGTTGCCTTAGACCCCGGTCGGACATGGGTTAAGCTGGGCTTTCGAAACTGTCTCATCGGTTCAGAGCCAATTATGATGGTTCATTGAGCGAATTCAGCGTTGTGAGCAAAATAGATGTTTGGAAGCCAAGATATCGTTCTTAAATAAATTTGAAAATTATGATGCAAATCTGGTGATACATGTCGTCAAAAAGCGTGCATGCAAGATACGTACAAGCAGGGTTCAAAAGCTTCTGTGGGTACCAGCGTAGACGAGTGAAAGGCCTATAACCGATCCAGCCCAAACGCGGCCATAAAACGTGAGCAACTAGGCGTTGACAGCCGGTTAAGGGTGCGCAAAAGCCGTCATGCAACAACTTAAGTGGAAGCTGGGCTAAGTGAAAAGTAAATAAGAAATTAGACAACTCTCTGGTATGCACACTTCAAATCCTGCTTCCCTCAAAACTTTTTCCTGGCTACGGGCTAAGTGAAAGGTAAAGAAAAAATTAGACGAACCCTTGGTATGCACATTTTAAATCCTGCTTCCCTCAAAACGTTTTCCTGGCCACGTTGTTTATATGAAACATCTTGAATTATCAATTTCGCTTTTCACTAACATTTTCCACTAGTCTGGTCAGAAACTGGATGGTGATCAAAATTGGCCACAAATTAAGAGCTACTTTAAAATTTTGAACGATAAAAGCATGACAATGCATTTTACGAAAGGTCCATCGGCATTTACGAACCGGCTAAGCTGACGGAGCCGGCATGCAAAGAGAAATTAACATGTTTCACACCAGCACTTCTAGACAGGGACCTATAACTTTGTTCCAACTTGGAATGAACGAAAACCAGGATAAGGCGGAGCGAATTTCATCGTTTGTCACCGGAAAATCCTACTCAGGTTATCGGGGAAGCAATGTAAAGGCTGCTCTCGATGTTACAAACAGTGAGGGCCCCGGTCGCAACGCTTGGTTACTGGATCCATAGCCGGTCTGCGGCCGGACCAGGTCATGGTCCTTCCCTCACCCGGCCGGGGCTGTCCGACGGGCGACAGCGCTTGATGACCGGGCCACAGGCCTGCCCATTCCCCCCCCCCCCCCCACCGGTGTCAGTTTGCCTGGTCACCGGTCTGTAGCCCCTCTCCCCCCGTGATGTGAGTTTGTCTGGCTAGGGTCGGGATTTGCAGCGGTGGCAAAAGTGAAGCAAAGACAGGTAGGATTTTGTGTCGCATGGCATATTCCATGTGCGGCGAGCAATTTTCTGGTCAATCAACGGTAGATTAAAGGTCATACGATTGATCTTAATGGCACGAATATTTCGGCTTTCGAAGTCCGTTCTAACCCTGATGCGGCCTGTTTAATTCTTTAGTTCTTGATAAAGCCGGGCAGGCCAACTGACAATGGCCTTCACCCTGTTCGCTGACATGACATATCACACGTCATACGTGTGTGATGTCCAATGGTGTCTACCTGATGTAATTGTCCAAGTGCTATTCAAAGCTATCGTTCGCATTGTCATAACATGCTCAATTCTTGAGATCACAAGACAAGTTTACTAAGTGCTAACTTGACTGGATTGACCCGCTTTGACCTGAAAGTGGCCACATTCACCATCAGTTAGACACACCTGTCTTGCACAGGTTAATAAGAACCTTCCAATAACGTTTTCTGACCGCCTATAGCTTTCTTGCTTTGTTTTTTGCTGGATATCTGACAAGGAGAACTGCGGAGTCCTTCTCCTGTAGGGAAAATGTAAATATCCCGATGACAAGCGTTAATAGTACTGTAATAGCCATTCAAAGGCAAGGTCACACCGGGTCAAGCCAGCGTTAAGATGTCCAAAAACTTTGTTCTCGAATCAGCTATTTTCAAATGCTACCAGGCACATGCACGTTACTATCTGGTTCGAAATGTATGACAATTGGTGTGAACATTACAGCTAAGTCATGATCAGATGAATCACATCGGACTACAAATCCAGAGTCCTTTAGCTCAAATTATCGAAAGAGGTTCCGAATTTTGTTCCTGAAAGTTTTTGTCCTGAAGTAAGCCGTTGCGAAAGACCTTTCGTTAAGTGCTAATGTCACTGTCGCACACACAGCACAAACGTGCAAAACCCGCAATAGCTAAGATTGTAGGAAGGCGTGGAACAAACTAAGGTAAACTCACAATTTCCTCACCAAAATTCCTTACCAAAAACATCGCACACCACAGATGTTATAACAATCGCAAGGAACTTTCAGTACAATCACTCACTTTCAAGTCGTACGTCATAAACCGATCACCTTTTACAAACCGACATACAATCTGAAAACGATCCGGTCCAGAGCAATGTCACAAATAGACCGGGAAACGACCAGTGTCGCCTTTTTAAAAACCGATCTCCAATACCACACCTGGGAACAAAGCATGAGAAGTTTCTCTTTAAACAGTGAACGTACGGATAGCCCAGTTCATTTTAACCGACCTTCTTCCAAAGCATTTGCTTTTAATATATTAATTTCATTCAACACAAACGGAAATCACTGCGAACTCACGCATTTCATCGGCTGACATTGTCGGACTAAGTCGTTCCCGCTTAACCCTAAATCAGATCAGCCCAGCCCATGGCCATCCAATTAAGTCAGGCAAGGTAGATTTCTGAGGCCAGTATGGATCAAACGGTGTCAAGATTACTTGGTGATTTATTGACCAAACACTGTTCTAGTCGGTGCAGTTAGTTTCACCCCTTTGCCTTCGTTGCTTCCTGAGATCTAGCACAATTTTTATGCTTAGTGTTTCCTAGTGTTGAGTTTATTGACCTTGAAATGATTCCGGAATTCAGACTGCTTGTAGGCTTTATAGATTAAGTATGACAATAAGGCTCATAGCAGATATTACGTGCTACTGAACGCCGATTAAAGTGTTTGAAAATAAAGTGGGAAATGCAATGATCACGGCCTGAGCGAATATCGTGGCATTGTAGTCATAGTGGTATCTGCACATAAATTCACTTCCTTCTATTACCCACTTCAACCTTCAGCACCGCGGAGATGCATGGTTAACTCATTATTTTCTTTTGTCCCCGTTTCAACGAGCTCTTGGGTTATGGAACACCGACATCGTGAATTGCTATTGAGTACGGCACGCTGTTGCTGCTGGCAAAGGTTGAGAGTCTGGCGAGGCCGGCATGCTGGATAGGGCTGGCTCTGAGAACAGTGATAGGGCACTGAAGTTCGATCGATATCGCTGACAGCATCCCCACAACAGTCTGGCTAGTGCAGCCATTCGTCACTCCCAAACTGCACCCCAGACCGCCGCTCTGCGCTGCGACTGTCGTGCGCCTCAACAGCGTGCATCCACAGGCGACGCCGCTGGTGGCACCGACGCAGCGTGCTGGAGAAGTTCCTGCTGCTGCTGGTGCTCCTGCTGCTGCTAGGATGCACCGCCCTGCTCCTGAACCTCGTACTAGGTGAGCTGCTCCCTTGCGACAGGCTGAGGCACGGGTAGGGATCATGCCCACGTGAACTAGTTACAACATTATGTTTCCTTCAAAAAGGTTAGTGTGCTTTGATTCTTATGAACGTTTTGTCAACCTCTCCCACTACAAAAAACCTGCAAAGTGATCGTTTGTGCTGTGCGACTGCAGCTCGCCGACCAGCTCTATGTCATACGGCGCCGCAATGTCGGTTTCCGGGCCCACAGGACCCAAGCTGAGCCCGAACACCGCAGCAAACAGGTGGCAAAAGAATGCAGTTTGCCCGGCATCAGAAAACTGTGGGACGTGATTCTGCATACAAATATATACACCTCAGAATGATCCCCTGAAAGGCCCTGACCTAGTGACCTCTGACTTAAGGTGCCGCCGCCGCTGGCCAAGCCTTTGAGTTGGGTCCGTGACCGCAACGCCACCTGCATCCGCCACTGAATGTGTCTCAGACCTGAACGCCCCTTCCGCCTGTGGGTGACTGGGCTGCGGCGGGCGGTGGCCGTAGTACAGAGTCACGTGGCGTGCGGCAGTGCTGTACCGGGGTCAGCCGGACGCGGCGGCGGCGCCGGAGACCCGCTGCCTCACCCCCACCTGTCTGCGGGTGGCCTCGCGCGTGCTGGACCGCATGGACCCGACAGCGGAGCCCTGCCAGGACTTCTTCCAGTACGCGTGCGGCCGCTACCTCAGCTCGCACGTGGTGCCCAGCGACGCCTTCTACAGCTCCAATATCCAGCACATGCAGGAGCGCATGCTGGTCGACATCAAAAGTGAGGCGACTGGGCGAACGACGGCGCCGAGGGACGAATCCTGGGTTGGATGTTGAAAGGAAACATGCTCCCGTGAAATCTGTGGCATTTGTGCTGAAAGCTGGCAATGCTAGTGGGGGAGACAAAAGGGCTCAGTCGGAAACGACGTCATCTCCCATTCGGGAGACCCGAGTTCTCTCGGACGCACAGTGCCTCGACCCATGCCCCACGCGGCAGATCGCGCCTCATTCATTCGCTGGTTCTGTGGCCTCTAACTACTTACAAGACATGCTGTCACTACTGCTCCAGAAAGAGGGTGCGCGATTACGTGTGTAGTGTCCAATCTACATAGAAGAGGCTGGTGTCATCATTGGTTGCGGAGTTGCAATCAACTGTGGCTTGTTAACAGCGGCTGGTGTCAGCATTCGAACGTGCGGAGTTGTAACCAACTTTGATAAACGTTATTTTCGAGTTGCTTCGACGCGATGTAGTGATTGGAACGTTTTTTTTTAAATATCGTCGCTGGACGACCCTCTAATGTGTTGTTTCTTGTTGTTGCAGAACTAATCGAAGACAACGATGTAGCACCAGACATCCCTGCTGTGAAGAAAGTGGAAAAACTATACTATTCATGCGTCAACATGAGTAAGCTGCATTCTTATTGACAAAATGTCGAGATGAACTTACGCGATAAAACGTCTTGTTTGAGTGCAAGCTGATTTGCACGGTCATGCGCAGCACTTAGGTTGCATAATTATCAGACTGCCTGCTGTGAAAACGCAAAAATTTGAATTATTTACAGGGCATGGAACTACGCTAAAAAGAGGGCATCTTCGCATTCTTCACTCGTTGCTATATCAGACTCGTGCGAATACATGGGCAATACTACTTTTCGCGAAATGCTTCTAAATACCTCAGAATTTTGATAAGATAGCCGCTCCTGCAGAAGAAATATTATTAGACTCCCTGCTTACCACTATGACAGTAATGCATTTCATTCGCCTTACTTATTTTCAAGGTACGTGTTCTGTGATGTTCGCAATACGCTAAGTTGTAAAAAAGTTTGTGATCGAAATGCTACGAACGCTTAAAACACTGTTAAAACAAAAAAGCGAACATTCATGGAGATCAGGGGGAAAGGTCAGTTTCGAGAATTTGTAGGGAACCTGAGGTAGGCCAACCTCGATGGGCCTTTGTGGCTCTTTGTTGGCCAGATGTCTATATTTGATGTCCTTAGGTCTAACACGAAGTAACTATCCCGCGATTTCAACAAAACGCTGTACTATGGCTTTGATTTGTCCTCAATGACGTTCAACACAGTGTCTCTTTTCGAAGCGCACTTTGGCTTTCGGAAACGAATAAGGTTGGTCCTGTCATAAAGCGTTGCCAGCGTAATTTGCGCTCGAAAACGATCAAACGATGTGTTATTATTCATTCATGATGCTGCAGTGGCACCACACGATGCTATCATTAGAAGTGACCGCTCCTGAGCTCTCGCTAGACAATGTTTTTGAAATATGACCTAAGGGTGGGGCACACCCTTTGAGAACAGTGCATAAGCGCGACGTGCTGTGCGACTGTAAACCCTGGCGAACTTGTAGTGTGACTGTTTCAGCCATACGAAAAGATCACAAACACAGAAAGATTATTTCACCACTCGCATCTACTGCCATCTTGCAAACTACTTTTTACTAATAGCATACAACTTTGTAAATTTGTCTTGGCTCTTCTCCAAGTTGTCGAACTTGTCCAATTCATTGCGTACAACATGACCTAGGCACTCAGGGCCTAGTTAGGGCCCATCTATTGCTGGTTGTGGTTCAACTCTCGCTGGTCAAGGCTTCACTCCCGCTGGTCTGCTCTCACTCCCGCTGATCGGGCCCCACTTCCGCTGGTCAGGGCTCCACTCCTGCTGGTCGGGTTTCTTCCCTGCGCTGGTCCGGGCTTACTCGCGGCGGTCTGAGCTGCAAACCCGCTGGGCGGAGCCCGGCTTTCGCTGTTCAGGGATCCACACCCCCTGGTCGGGGCCCAACTCTCGCTGGTTGGACTTAACTCCTGCTTGTTAAGGCCGAGCTCCCGCTGGTCAGGGCCCCACTGTCACTGGTGAAGATTCGGTACCCGCTGGTCAGAGTTTCACTCCTGCTGCACTCATGCTGGTCAGGGTTCACTCCCGCCAGTCAGGGCTTCCCTGTTGCTGATCCGTGGTCGACTGTCGCTGGTTGAAGCTCGAGTATCGCCGATCGGTGTCAGATCGGCGCGAGCCGGCAGTGCCAACAGCTCGGGTCCGCTCCCTGGACGTGATTCGGACGCGCTTTTGCTGGTGCTGAATCAATCAGCGCCACGCGCCGAGCCAGCTGGGCTGCCGCGCCGAACCGACCGTGCATTATTCATAACACGCGATTGGCCATATGAAACGTTTGAGTTGGGTGTCATATGACATGAAGACGCTCCTACATTTCTATGCTGTTAAAGGAAATTGCCTCATATCGTCGGTACCAGATGAAGAGCGACGACTGTGGGACTGGAAGTACGGAGAAAGTCTCTCACTTAGTCGAAATTTTCCCTTTAATTTCTTTTCAGTGGAAGTCGCTTTTCCAATGTTTTTGGAACGTCATGCACTCGTCAGATGTCTCGACTTTGACGTTCCTTCACCAGGGAGGAAGGGGTGATTAAAGAGCCGGCTCAAGCCGTCACTGGCGCTGTCTTTTCTCTTGCTGTGCAAGTAAACAGACCGCCTAGGCTGTATTGAAAGTCGTCGTATTTTCTTTCTGCCCCGAATCCATGCAAATACGCACTGCCGGTACGTGCCGAATTGATTACCAAATGCGTCAACACTAAGTCACCACTTCTCCGAGAGCAGGTCAGCCCCAGCAGTGACTCCACCTCTCGCCCGTCTGGCAGTGACTCCATCTCTTGCCTGCCAGGCAGTGGCCCCATCCTCGCCCGACTGGCAGTGACCCCGTCTCTCACCCGGCTGGCAGTGACCCATCCCTCGTCCGGTAGAAAGGGACCCATCTCTCGCCCGGCAGGCAGTGACCCATCCCTCGCCCGATTGGCAGTGATCCCATCTCTCACCCGGCTGGCAGTGACCCATTTCTCGTCCGGCAGGCAGTGACCCCATCCCTCGCCCGGCTGGCAGTGACCCGTCGCTTGCCCGGCTGGCAGTGACCCATCCCTCGCCCTGCCGTCAGTGACCCATCCCTCGCCCGGCTAGCAGTGATCCCATCCCTCGCCCGACTGGCGGTGATCCCGTCCCTCGCCCGGCTGTCAGTGACCCATCCCTCGCCCTGCTGTCAGTGACCCATCCCTCGCCCGACTAGCAGTGATCCCATCCCTCGCCCGACTGGCAGCGACCCATCTCTCGTCCGGCAGGCAGTGACCCATCCCTCGCCCGACTGGCAGTGATCCCATCCCTCGCCCTGCTGTCAGTGATCCATCCCTCGCCCGACTAGCAGTGATCCCATCCCTCGCCCGACTGGCAGTGATCCCATCCCTCGCCCGACTGGCAGTGACCCATTTCTCGTCCGGCGGGCGGTGACCCCATCTCTCACCCGGCTGGCAGTGATCCGTCCCTCGTCCGGCTGGACAATGACCCATCCATCGCCCGACTGGCAGTGATCCCATCCCTCGCCCGACTGGCAGAGACCCGTCCCTCGTCCGGCTGACAGTGACCCATCCCTCGCCCGGCTGGCAGTGACCCATCCCTCGCCCGGCTGGCAGTGACCCATCCATCGCCCGACTGGCAGTGACCCATCTCTCGCCCGGCAGGTGGTGACCCCATCCCTCGCCCCGCAGGCAGTGACCCGAGCACGGACGTGCAGCAGAGCCGGGAGGTGGCGGCCGCGGTGCTGGCCGAGCTGGGCGGCTGGCCACTGCTGGAGCCCGGCTGGGTCGTGCAGCGCTTTAACCTGACTGCGCTCATCACGCGTTTGCACAGCTATAAAGTCAACAGCGTACTTGAGCTGTTCGTGTCCTCCGACTCCCGCGATACGTCCACCTACATCATACAGGTGGGATGTGTGCACCGAGTGGGACGGACGGGCCACGTCCACTAGCGCAATCCAGATTTGCCACGCGCGCCTTGTTGGGTGCTTCCTTGACACGCGCGCACGTAAAACGACGGGCCCGGCTTTAGAAAACAAAGCTAGTAGGCTATTTTGCTTCGTCTTTGGATGTCGGGTCTATGCCGCGTCTCAAAACCCGCCAAGGCTGCTGCAACGATTCCATTATGCGACGGGAAAGCCATTTACGGAGCGTTTACCACCAGGAGGCATACATTATCAGAATACACAGGCGCTATTCATAAAGTTCGTCACGCATTTTTGTGTCATTTTTCAGCTCCCTTTCCATTTTACGCACTGGTTACACTGGGAAGACCCCGTCTTCCTACTGGTTGCGCTGCGTCAAATGTAATTTCTCAAAAAAGGTAAAGTTCATTTGGTCCTTAATTGAGCTAGAAGTGCGAAACAAAGACTGGTTGTTGTCATAAAATAAAGTCGGCGATATCAAGGTTAAAGGCCTTAAAATATTTCTCAACAATGTTTGCAGCTTAATTTGCAGCCTGACCATAGTGAAACATTATGCTGTCTAAACTCCTCCCGCTTGTTACGCTTCGGCTACGGTTCCTCCTCCCCCTTTTCCATGCGTGACATAATATGTGGAGGCCATATGTATGCAAACAGCCCATCGAAATGCATAAAAGCACAAGGTACATTAGTTTTTCATCTGATGGGCAAAAAAGCCAAAGCCGTTTAGATTACCAGGTCCTGAATCAACCAATTTCCTGAACAACAAATGCAGTGGTGCTCGCCCAAGGAGGACGGGGAAGGAGCTCACCACAGCCTATCTCTCTTTTACGGCAGTGATCTGTTCTTGAAAGCTCTTCATGTGTTGCCTACATCTGCATGCAGAATACATACATACATACGTATATACATACATACAGACACACACACACACACACACACACACACACACACACACACACACACACACACACACACACACACACACACACACACACACACACACACACACACACACATCGCCACCCACCCAGCGCAACTGCCAACTAAATCTCCTCGGTCGCGCGCGTCGCGACGTCAGCTGTTCAAGGGCTCGCCGCTGATCGAGGCGGGATACCTGCTGAACCAGACGGATCAGCACGCGCGCCGCCAGCTGGCAGCCTACCGGCGGCTGCTGGCCGATACGCTAGCCGTGCTAGCGCCGCCGGCTGACGATCAGCAGCAGCAGGCACAGCTTGGCAAGATCCAGCAGCAGCAGGTCGAGAAGATGGTTGACTTCGAGATCCAATTCGCCAGGGTAGGAGTGCGCAGTGGGCTTTCCGATGCGTTCGCGGCGCGTTCAGTTCTCGCGTCACCATTTCTTGCGCCTGATGCGGCGCTGTAAACCAAAACAGCTCGGACCTTCATAGCTTGGAGCTTGGAGTGTGTATTCGCCTCAGACATCTAGACATCTAGAAGTCGACTATAGCCGCTTTGGAAACCGAATCATGGCCTGGAACACGCACGATACGCTCGCAATGGTCGTTACGTCATTCAGCCGGGCTGTTCTGGGAGCGGGTAATTATTTCGTAAGATATCACGACGGTATCAATCCCCGCGTTATTTATTTCACCAGCTGATCAGCAAGACGTCTTGCGAAGATGTCTCAGTACTGCTCAACGCTACGGATACGGACGTCCTGCTGGCTGAGGAGGGACGCCTGTCTTTGGAGGAGCTGTCCAACCTCACCCCGCATGTGAGTCACCCCTGATCTGGCTCTGGAGGAGGTGTCCGAACTCCCTCATCACGCCACCACTGATACCGAGGTCTGGCTCTGGAGGAGGTGTCCGAACTCGCTCATCATGTGAGTCACCACTGAGACAGAGGTCTGGCTCTGGAGGGCTGTCCGTCCTCACCCCGCGCGTGAGTCACCAATAACACGGAAGTCTGCCTCTGGAGGAGCTGTCCAGCCTCAGCCATGACGTGAGTCATCACTGATGTCTGACGGTTTAATTAAATTACACGCACACACAAACACAGACACATACACCCGCACACACACACACACACACACACACACACACACACACACACACACACACACACACACACACACACACACACACACACACACACACACACACACACACACACACACACACACACACACACACACACACACACACACACACACACACACACACACATATATATATATATATATATATATATATATATATATATATATATATATATATATATGCATATATGCATTTGCATATATATTACCTTAATTTAAAACAGAAATATATTGGATTTTATCATTGGATATCAGTGGGTCACTTGATGTGAATCACGACGGATGCAGACAACCGAGGTGAGGTGTCTCTTCTTTTTTCTTCTCATGCTTCTTCTGCTCCCTTTGGCCTGATGACGCACGGCGTGGGACACGCGTGGAAGCGGGGTGCTTCCAAGCACCGACGGAGTGTCGTGATATGCGCCTACTTTTCTCTTCATCCGTCAATTATGATTCTAAACCCACAGTTATACTTACCCGGACAGTACAGTGGCAAACATCTTTTTCGCGGCCTACTTGAATACCATCTTACAGTGCGCATCCGTATTGGGGGTCACATCGCGGCTGGACCAGCCCACACACAACGGCGAACTGCCGCGCACAACGCCGACAGAGAGGCTCACTCTACACGCCCCAAGCAGCACCCCTTATACCCCTTTCAAGCCCACCCGCAACACGATCGGTGTGCGATTCGCCGGCACCACCGCGTCCCACCCCACCGCGTCCACGGGCTAGCGCATCGCCCCTGAGCCGTGACCGTTTCCCTACGTTAACACTGTCCTGGGGCATAATCTATTGCCACATATGGTTCACCGCTACAGCATCCCAACTAGTTTCTCGAAAATTCGCTGTGTTTGCGGCTGTTCTCTTCACTTGGCGTCGGCCTGTAAGCATCTTTAGAGTCATTCACGCCGTTCCCAAGGCTTCGGCTCCAGCCGGTGGCCGGGCCGCGTCTTTGGTGCAGGCCGTCGGGACCGTTGCACCGGTTCAGCCATTGCCAATGCCCTGACGAACCGCCGACGCCTGCGTCCAATCAGAGCCGGGGCAACGAGGAGAGCGGCGGCGGCAGACGCTGCGGAGCCCGGACCACCAGCTGACGGTGGTCTGGGAGCACTGGAGACGACGAGGCAATTACAGCTCTGCCAGCGTAACCCCCACCCCTCCCCCCACTTGACCCTGGGCCGGCGGGGTCACGCTAGTCGAGAAGGCGTTGCGACCAGCGGGGTAGGGCCTAGAGATGGGGCTGCTGGTGGTTAGATTAGCGTGATAAAGGAAGGAGTGCTAAGCCCACTAGTTTTTGGTCCTGGTACAGATGTGGTGCGAATTATTCGCATTTGTCAATAGGTGTTTTCCGAATAACGCCGCCGACGTTTGCTTACCAGCACCCTGTCCCAATTCTATTAATGATCGCTATATAATGTAGTGGGTTCTCATCACGTAACTGTGCGCCCCAAGTTTCAAAGAGATTGGCCTTTTACATGAGAACCCTGTGTGCAGTTCGACTGGTCCGTGATGCTGCAAAACTTCCTGGCCGTAAACAACATCAGCCACGACATGAACATCGTATCCGTCGACTGCAAACCTTTCGTGAAGGCCGTCTCCAAGTTCCTGGACGAGAGCCCCAAGCGGTAAGGCTTTCATGTGGCTCGCAGCGAATTTCGTGCTATGAGTGATGGGCTTTGTGTCTCTTTGATGAGGTCTCATCCCCCTGCCAATATTCATTTCGTCCGCTCATTGTGTGCCTAAAATTGACAAGAGGTCACCAAGTCTGCTAAGCCCACCAGAAATCCTCTAAATTTAGGGGAAATCTAGCCGGTGGCGTCCCAAATGATTTGTGTGAATCCCTGCGTCAATCATGGATCAGCCTTCAAATAAATCAAAAATCAATAAGTATTCCAGCTCGAAGGTCACAGTGCATTGCGTTTCATCTGATAAAGCGCATGAGCCAATGCGCTGCTGTGAAAACACGGTCTACACACCCGATGCACTGGACGTCAACAACGCCTCACATATTGCTGTCCAGTAAAGCAGCCATCCATTCGTGTTTGGCCCAGTCGTAGGATTTCGACAGTCGCTCGCCTCATGGTGATGCCCCACAGCGTCGCTGCGATTCAGCTCAGTCCATTGACGGGGCGGGACGGTGCGAGGCGGATGGGATGGACCGGCTGGGACCCGGCCTGACACAGCTTGATGGCGGGATGAACCATCTGAGGCGCGACCTGACACGGCCTGGGGACGGGGTGTGGAAGCGGGCGGGATAGGCCGCCTAGGATCCTGCCTGACACGGCTGGCTGGGACTCAGCCTGACATGATCTGGGGACGGTGTGTGGAGGCGGGCGGGATAGGCCGCCTAGGATCCTGCCTGACACGGCTGGCTGGGACCCAGCCTGACATGATCTGGGGACGGTGTGTGGAGGCGGGCGGGATAGACCGGCTGGGACCCGGCCTGACAGTGCCGGCTGGGACTCGGCCTAACACGACCTGGGGGTGGCGTGTGGAGGCGGGCGGGATAGACCGGCTGGGACCCGGCCTGACACGGCCTAGGGGCGGCGTGTGGAGGCGGACGGGATAGACCGGCTGGGACCCGGCCTGACACGGCTTGGGGGCGACGTATGGATTGGGCGCCGCCGGATTGCGGAGAGCTAGCTGCTTTTGGGTGCTGCGGTCAGATATTGGTGGTGGTCTTACGTAGCGTGGGAAGACGAGGTCGTAAGTTTGGTAAGCTTTACCACACATAGGATATTGCTATTTTTGTTACACTTAAGCACTGCCTAATCGAAAACGTTGTTTTCCTCACGGTGGTTCACAAAATACGCATATCATAACGAGGCTTCAGAGGTGTAGTCTCATGAGGTGAATTAAGGGAGGGGGATCTGATCAGTGAACAATGACCAAACCTAGCCCCAAATTGTTCCAAGAAACAGGTTTGGTGGTTTCTTTGGCCCAGCCTCTTCCCAAGGGGACGGGGCTGGAGCCCAAAGGGGGGGGGGCCGAATGGAGCTAAGCTCTTCCCCAATTCAAAAGGAAACTATACCCCTGCAAGATGCATTTCCTACGTCCTTGACAACATGCACGTTCTTCTCCACATTTGGCGCCGCATGTATCCGCGCTGGACCTGACTGCGCGCTAGAGACCAGTTAGGGCGCGCCGAATCCGCATCTCTGAGCGAGTCCTGATGCCGCCGTGAGATGGGCTGTCTCGCCGTCAGCGTGGTCGCCAACTACCTGGTGTGGAGGTTCGTCTTCAAGAATATGCGCTTCATGGGCCACCAGCTGCACAAGATCTGGCAAGATTTCCGTAAGCAGGTGCCGAATCTGAACGAGGAGCGGGTGTACTCAGGCAGGTAAGCAAGTGCACTCAGGCAGGTGAGCAAGCGCACTTAGGCAGGTGAGAAAGTGTGACCAACAAGAGCAAAGGTTTCGATTTTTTAAAACACGTTGCAACGAAGCTTGCACTCAGTTTAGATTGATACAACTATACAGGCGTTCAACAAAATAGAAAGGACACACAATGTGCCCAAGCACGAGTGTATTCTGTCAGGTGAACGGATGTACCTTAAGATGTGGGCAAATGTACTTTACTCTGCCAGATGCGTGAGTGTATTCAACACTGCGGTAGGTGAGAACAGGTTGTGTCACGCTCTGCTATCGTCGCGTTACGTTCTACCAATATCGGTAGTCCAGACAAAGCAAACGACACGGGCCCATATCGCCGATAAGGACAGCATAGCAGCTGAGCGATGCATATCATCCTTATTAATGCACACATTATCATAAAGATTGTATAAATTAAGCACGGCCACACATCCAGGCATTGACACGTTCGTACTTATCGGCATCTCTCATCGCGACAAAACTTCTTAAAACCGAGGCCCGTCATGTGTGGTAACGGCTCCGGTCCATGCTATTTCTTGTCTCGCTGCAACCGCACATGCGTGACAGGTGTAGTCGGTATCCGCAGGTGGAAAGGATGTGCAGAGATGGTGGAAAAGGGACTGGCCAACGTCCTCTCCCATATGTACATACAGCACTACGACAAACACCACATCAAAGCCAAGGTATGCGTTGGAGCTGCTTGAGTCATTGGAGCATTCTGCATGCAGTTTATAAAGATGATTGTGCATGGCGGCGACACCGGCCCCGCCGTACGATACAGTGCTGCATACATTTATTAACATCAGGTGGTGACTTTTCGTATGCTTATATGTATGAATTGTAGCTTTCCATGAACCCACACTCGTTCCATATCGGCTGTTCTGTTTCAGCATCGCTTTGCAAAAGAATCCACACACACATACCGCAGGCCAGAAGTGAGAGGTCAGGTCAAACTTGATGTTGAATATAGGGTCAACTAGCATTTCCGGAAAAAAATCAAAGTATATGTGAATGGGATCGGAGTGCGCTAAAAATTATGAAAACGTATGAATATCCCTGTGCTGCTTGGTTTCGGGAGTTGACAAGGCGCGACCAAAGCGGGCCCATGATTGGGTAAAATATCACGCGACCGCGTGGAACGTTATGATTGGTCGGCCGGATGAGCAGCACGGCGTGACTCGCGGCCTTGTGTTCCAAAGATTGCTGCCATATCGCGGAGAAGAGAGGCATGGAGAAGTGGGGGTGTCAGACTGCGACTGCCTGGGAGAGCCCTGCTTCCGGACCTTTCCCTGTACTGGGAGACTTCCTTGGGGCTTGTGCGGTCGCTCGGACCGGGCTGCCGCCAGGGTGGAGCTTAATCTGGCTCACGACTGACGAACACAGCTCACCTCGGAAGCCCAGGCGGGGCTGCCGCCAGGCGGCCCTTAACCTGGCTCACGACCAAGGGCCCCGACTCGCCCCGGAAGCCCCGGGTAGGGGGAGGAAGGTGCCGCCATCAGGGCGGGACTCATGACTGACGACCAACGACTGACGGTTGCAGTCCATAATAAGGCTATGGAAAGTGTATAATGCGGTTCTTGTCATTGATAAATGAACGATGAGCACCAGAAACTACCACAAACAGCAGGCTCTCGGGTAGAAAAAACAGACTGCTTTCGACCTCCGCCTGACCTTCCTACCCGACCCTAGGTCAGTTACATTTCTTAGTTCAATTGCTGCATTGCCTAAAAGACTATCTCAGAGATGTACGACTGCGTCTAACACTCCATTGTGGCATCAGATTTGACGATTCTCCCCCAAATCGCCTTCGCTGAATCCATGACCTGATTTTGACCTGTCATAGGTTAGCGACCTTAAAAAGACTATCTTATTCTCTGCTACCAAAAGATCCGCTGTTAAATCGTCCAGGGCTACGCAAAATTTGGTGCGGCTGCGCCGCGCTGTTCGGAAATCATTCCGGGAAAGCCTTCGGGGGTCAAATTGACTCCCGCCTACCCAAGCGCGTGTCAAACACAAAGTACCGCTCTGCGTGCATGATTCAAACGCGGCAGTCACCTGATCACCGCCGCAGACGTGGCCCACACCCAATTTTGAGAGCCGCTCCTCTGCGAATACCCGCGCCTGTGCGGGCGTCATGCATATTTCGAATTCGGCCTGAGGTCAGTAAGTAATTTTGAAATTCGTGAGCCCTCCAAATGTGGCACCGCTAAGCACTGGTGCGGTTACGTCAGCTCAGCAAGCAATTCTGCAGATGAGGTCAATCATGGCGGCAACAATCTGCCGATCTCTCCGCAGGTAGAAGAGTTAATACGCTATGTGAAGAAGGCCTTCCGCGATAGTCTTCTCAGCGAATCCTTGGATCGAAAACGACATGAAAGAAGCTCTGGTGGAAAAGGTGATGTAAATCCGACTGCACTTTTTCCTTGGAGTGGTGCTCCTTGCTCCTTACTGGTGGCTAGGGCTGCAACTAGATGGCGGAACATTTGCTAGCGAATTCACCACTTCGTTAGTTACACGTCAGCAACGCCCAAACCGCATTACTTAGCGTAACTCGCAAAGCACCACTGGGCTGCATTTGAGAACGGTACGTGTTGAGATTTGATAAGTGTTGCTTTTCAGCTAGACATGATGGGTCAGAAGATAGCATTTCCGGACTCGGTCCTCAACCTGACTGCCCTCAACGAGGAGATTGATGACGTAAGCAATGCGTCCTCTGATATATTTCTTACTGGTCTTATTCCACACAGAGACTGGTGTTTTTAACACGCGACGCATGACAGGATGCGACTGGGTTTGCACATGTAGTGAGTGGTCTCAAACCATGCGTGTCAATATGTGATAGTTCCATGCCGTGACACCTGGCCCGTAGTGAACCAACCTGTTCGAACACACTCACAATATATGCACGCAAGCCTGCTAGGCCGCTAAATCACCAGCGTTGTTTTCCCGCCAGCTGCAATTTGACGATCAGCACCTGCTTTTTAACGTGCTGCGATTGCGAAACCACGAGATGGTGCGTGACCTCCGCAAGCTGCTGCGACCCGTCGACAAAGACAGGTCAGGTCGACAACAAGGCAGGGGGGCGGTCAAAACAACTCATCTTAATATCACAAGTATTTTCCAGTTATTTCAATTTTCGCTTTTCCATAGCTTATCTACTATCGTGCACCCTCCCCTCTCCCCCTCTCTCTCTCTCTCTCCGTGTGTGTGTGTGTGTGCCCCTCTCTCCCTCTCTCCCTCTCTCTCTCTCTCTCTCTTAGCGTCTATCGTCCCTTTTTAATCTCCTACCTCCCATTCTCTACCCTCTCACTCTCCTCTGCCCTCGTTTACTTTTCCCTTTTTCCAGTCGAGTGGTGTTATGACAAGATGAGCCGTACACGTACGAAGCGCAGTCCGCTGCCGAACCAATAAAAACTTCAGAAGGAACTGTTCTCTATGCTGACTTTTTTGACAGCGACAGACTTAAAGACCGATTAAAACAGACATTCAGATTTATCATTTGCAAGGATTGACAGCTCTTCACGACCGATTTCAATGTTGGATAAGACGCGTCGAAAGGTGGTTCCATCTGACAGGCCTGGTCTTTATTCCTCCAGGGATTGGATCGTACGCCCACTGCAAGTGAATGCCTTTCACTTCGCCATGAACAACGAAATCTGTAAGTTGCTGTGGTGTTGGACATTCACCATGTTCTGCTGAATGTCTTCGCGAGTTACGAGTCAACTGTTATATACATTTTCCTAGAATATGCCGCCTTTAGCGTAAAAACTGTTTAAGACGCCAGAAAATGTTATTCATACGTCATGTCAACTGCAGCGAGTTACGCCTACCAACAGAAACCGGCTGATTGACGATTAATTTGTCGGTTTCAGTATTCCCGCTTGGCTTCCTTCGGGAGCCATTCTTTGGACTGGATTATCCAGCGTAAGTTGTGTGGATTGACATGAAGTCTTTGACCGTCGTAAGCTTAATGCACATGTGTCATCCAGAGACAATAGCATGATTGTGGGTCCGAAAAATCTAGTCGCACTCTTCGTATTTCATTTGCTCGTGAGGAAAGCCCGGCATAACATTTCATTTTTGTGTGCAAGGATGCTGACGTCAAGGTTTCGTAAATGTGACGCTTCGTGCGATAGTCAAATTTGATGCGCAAAACTTTGCATGTCCTATTGCTTGTTTGTGAGTATTCGTATGTTCTTCGTCGCGTCACATATGTGCGCATTTACAATTATTAGATTGCTTCGCGTACACAAATATTATTTATATTCATGCAATGTTTAAGAAACAATCTAAATTCCGTGCATCCTGTCCGTGCATACCTTTGTTTTGCCAGAGCTGTACGCGACATGCCAGTTTAAACGAAGTTTATGTGGGTGTTCGGAGGGCTCCGGCACAGTGACCGTAGAGCCGACTCATAGCTGACGGCCGCATCATGCCTCCAGTGAGACGGGGCGTTGCGAAGATTTAGGACAAACGTTAAGTGGGGAAAACAGGCCTATGCATACACATTCACCTCTTCAGGGTCGAGTTCGGTAATGCGCGGACGCTTATGGCTCATAGCGAAGCGCGTATAAAACAATAAAATAATTGTGCGCACTGTGACATTCTATTCAGTTAACTGAGCGTTCGAAAAAAACTGTGATGCGAACTATTGTGCAGGTGTTGTTTTGCCACACAGATACTTACGATGCGATCATTCCTCAGCAAGAACATTTGTGAAAAACAACGATCCAATAACTTAAAACGTCCGTACTCATCTCTTGGTAAATGTTCGGATGTGTATATGCCTTTACGGATTTGTATTGCAGTTGATTGGAGCGGTCCCCAGCTAAACAAAACATAGCAGATGAAACCTGTCAACCGACACATCATTTGCAGGGCCATTGCAGCTGTCAGATTGCCTGGAACGTTGATGACTAAGTAGCCTATCTCCTAGTCGCCTGAGTTAGGTCAAGGTCACTATGACAGGTCATCTATTATTTCCCCTCCCATTTGCATACAACCGACTCACTAATGGTTGTAGACATACCGAATGATATACCGCTGACCTTCGAATTTATGGGGTCAACTAAGAGGTCAGCCGATTGTCGAGCCATTTGCCTTTCAAGGTCAACCTAGATGATTGAGCCCTGATCACCTCTCGTGGAAAAATATCGTATGTAGGTGACAAAGCGACGCTGTGAAGTGTCGCGACGGACGCAAACCAGCAAATTGTACCGGTAAAGCCTATATAAAGATTAACTAAGGTCAGTGACCTATGATGAGATCAAATTGCTGTTTGGGGATCAGGTAGTGACAGCATTTTATGGACACGTGACCTGAAGCACAACATCGTCATGCATTAAGAGCGAATGCCACTATAAACCACTTGTTAGTCCAACATGGTCTAGCTAAAGCTTGTTAGGTCACTAACCTGGCATGCCCTGATCTCAAATTATCAGAGAACTTACCATTGCAACTGATATGAGGTAAGATATGGGCAGTACCAGGATGATAGCACCAGTTGTTCTGCAGGTGTTCTTAAACAATGTTCTGGGAGCGAGCGCCAGGTAGATACATGGAGCGGAGACGGCGTCGGGCAGATAAAAGGGGGCGCCTGCCGGACATATGTCTTCCCCGTCAGTGCCAGGGTAAAGTACCCATAAGCATCAATAAACGCGATGCATAGCCAACCGGCGGGAATACGACAAGTTGCGATACCAAATTTTTGTGCATCAGGAATCGTGCGTAGGAGGTGTGCATACAGTTTTCTGCATGCGAACTATGCCACTTACGTACATGTATAATGATCTGCACGAAAAAAAACTTGCGCGATAAAGATGTGAGTTTTGAACAATTTGTATTCGAAGATTGACACACGCTGTGATGTTGCGGTGAAATAGGACAAGACGAAATGCGACGCGCGGTTTATCTGATTATGTATGGCTGTGACAACGTTTCAAGTCATTTTTTCTGACGGGCTCAATGCTTTTCTACCCGAACTGTGAGAGACATCTAAATGGTTGGCATGTCAATGACACACCGACAACTCTGTATGATGTGTGACAAAGCTAGTGTATTAGTATACTAAACTTCTCGCAGGGTAATCTTTGAGCTTTCCCGACTCCGTGTATAAATAAATTGCGGTTAAGCATATACGAAAAAAGACGTTGAGGAATTCATTGTGTAGAGATACATTCAAATGAGATCAGTCCGATTTGCACATAGATATCAATTCTCAACCACATGTACACAAAAGCACGTTATGACCTGTGTTTCAGCCTAGCAAACTTCGCTAACATGGGCGTGGTGATTGGACATGAACTAACGCATGGCTTCGACAACCACGGTAAGATTCTATATTTAATTGTAAAGACTGCTGTTGTTTTGGGGAAAATATCACAGGATTTGACTTTGTAGAATATGAATCAATTGTCGCAATCGTCGCTAGGAGGTAGCAATGAAAGTTCGCTATTTCTAACGGACACTGCTGAAAAGGCATACCTCTGCAAGTCCACTGCTGCCTAGCTTGAGTTGTTTCTAATTTATTGGATATCTTTCGGGGATTGTGAGCAAAAAAAGAACAACTTGAATGATGAGAATTCTGTTTTCTGATCCTGCTTGGCTATCATCAAGCCAGGCACCTGCATGTTGTCTGATGCAAGAAAATGTCTTCGTTGCGCGGTTCCAACACCGAAAAACTCTTCTGCTGTGACGTCATCTGTGTACGATCGCAGGCCGACGCCACAACTGGGGCGGCAACGTCACGAACTGGTGGTCGGAAAAGCTGCTGACAGACTTCACCGACCGTGCTATGTGCATTGTCAAACAGTACTCCAAATACAAGCTGGATGTTGTGGGTAAAAACGTGAGTAGTCACTGGCGTTTACCACTTTAAGGTATAGCTAACTGCAAATTTATTCCGTGTTCCCTCGTGGTCAGGAAATACTGTGGCCTCGAAGCTAATGGACTTGATGGACATCTTTTGCTTGATAATTATGAATCTTCGACGATTGACCGTGATGCACAGTGGACTGGAGTGGAAACGGATACGTTTTGCGTCATGTTGTGCTATGACTTCACCGCCCCATGCCAGCAATGCGTTCTTGATGGGGCTGCATCCGTTCAGAAGTTCCAGCATCGCGCTGGTCAACCAGCACACGCACACTGTGTCGAAATGGGCCAGCCGGATCATCAAACACCCTTTCAATGCTAGCCAGAGGAGCGCTGACACATGGTCTCGGCTGGCAGGTTTACAGCTGTCCGGTCTCGGCTGGCAGGTCTACAGCTGTCCGGTCTCGGCTGGCAGGTTTACAGCTGTCCGGTCTCGGCTGGCAGGCTTACAGCTGTCCGGTCTCGGCTGGCAGGCTTACAGCTGTCCGGTCTCGGCTGACAGGTTTACAGCTGTCCGGTCTCGGCTGGCAGGTTTACAGCTGTCCGGTCTCGGCTGACAGGTTTACAGCTGTCCGGTCTCGGCTGGCAGGTTTACAGCTGTCAAGTCTCGGCTGACAGGTTTACAGCTGTCCGGTCTCGGCTGACAGGTTTACAGCTGTCCGGTCTCGGCTGACAGGTTTACAGCTGTCCGGTCTCGGCTGACAGGTTTACAGCCGTCTGGTCTTGGCTGACAAGTTCACAGCTGCCTGGTCTCGGCTGACAGGTTGACGGCAACAGGACGGTGGGAGAGAACATGTGTGATAGCTCGGGCCTCAAGCAGGCCTTCAGAGCATGGCGGCAGTGGCAGCGCGAGCACCGGCCAGAGCCCAAGCTCCCCGGCATCGATCTGTCCGACGACAAGCTCTTCTTCGTCTTCTACGGACAGGTGCGCGCGCGGCAGACTCGCGGCGCTAGACATCACTTCATTGTGAAGCGGCGCATCACCGCGGAGGCTCCATGTTCAAGGCGAGGCATCTCCCCCATGTCTACTCGGGGTTTGGTTACGCAGGTCACTCATAGCCACGTCTAGGCCCAAAACGGAGTCAAATGTCACTTCTAGAATTTCACCAGCCAGTGTACTCTTACCACCATAAAAGTTTCTTATAGCATATGCCATGCATTATGAGAAGCGCAGAGGTGTCTCGTAACCAGCACGTACATAATAAGGTTTCCCAAATCATTTATTGTTGACAGTTCAACGTAGGCATGATATATCCATACTCCTCAGAGTACGTTGTGAATATGCCTTGTTTATTAGAACAAGCTTTCCGGTTGATAGTTAAATGTCACGTCTGAAAGCGAAGGTCCGGAAAAACGCGCTCAAACATTTGATAAAGCTCAAAATGATTAATATTAGGTGCATTACGCGCCACCTAGCAGCTTATCAATGCTTATGATTTCTGACAGCAGCCATCAGAAATCATGTAAATGGGCGCAGATTCATGAAGTACACGCATCGGACACAGATGCAGTTTTTCCTAATCTCTCCACGGTATCAAGGTCTTGGCTGATATGGTCACATGTGTGAAGGCTTTAGCTGCCTGTTGTCACCCAGCAACGGATACATTCTCGCCGTGACTAATGCAATGTCTACATTTGATTAGTTTGTGACCTTTGTATACAAAAAGGATGATGCGCCTTAAACTCTTAAGATCTTATGCGCTTCGGCTAACCCTGCTACACTGTTGATAAAGAGCGATGCATCGTACCCTACCCTATCAGCAATCAGTTACTTGGTTAAGACTTCTCGGTCCTCCACCAGCATCGTAAAAAGCAGAAGCAAGACGCCTTTTGCTCCCGGCTCCCATTCTATTGTCAAGCACTCCTGTTCGCCAGAAACCGTCCGTAGACACAGCGGAACTATTTTTTTGGCCTCGCTTGACACGACATGGCAGGCAGCTGCGTAAGATAATTCACGAATGAAGTATTTGCTCCATCTATCGTCGTCTAAGCCGTCCCGTTTCCTCCGAGCCGCCCCATTTCTTCCGAGCCATCCAGCCACCTCAGAGCTATCCCGCTGCCTCAGAGCCGTCCCACTGCCTCTGGGCCTTCCCGCTGCCTCTGAGCCGTCCCGCTGCCTCCGAGCCATCCCGCTGCCTCTGAGCCATCCCGCTGCCTCTGAGCTGTCCCACTGCCTCTGAGCCTTCCCACTACCTCTGAGCCTTCCCGCTGCCTCTGAGTCTTCCCACTGCCTCTGAGACGTCCCGCTGCCTCCGAGCCGCACCCTGCCTCTGAGCCATCCCGCTGCCTCTGAGCTGTCCCGCTGCATCTGAGCCTTCCCACTGCCTCTGAGCCGTCCCACTGCCTCCGAGCCGCCCCCTGCCTCTGAGCCTTCCCACTGCCTCTGAGCCTTCCCACTGCCTCTGAGACGTCCCGCTGCCTCCGAGCCGCCCCCTGCCTCTGAGCCATCCCGCTGCCTCTGAGCTGTCCCGCTGCATCTGAGCCTTCCCACTGCCTCTGAGCCGTCCCACTGCCTCCGAGCCGCCCCCTGCCTCTGAGCCTTCCCACTGCCTCTGAGCCTTCCCACTGCCTCTGAGCCTTCCCACTGCCTCTGAGCCGTCTCGATGCCTTTGAGCAGTCCCGTTGCCTCTGAGCCTTCCCGCTGCCTCTGAGCCGTCTCGCTGTCCCCGAGCGTCTCGCGGCCTCCAACCATCGCGAAGTGATGCCTCACACGCCTACCTCCCTTCAGATCTGGTGCGAGGTGGTGAGCCCGGAGGGCTGGGAGAAGTACGCGATGGAGGCACACAGCCCGGGCCGCTATCGGGTGCGGGGAGTGCTGCAGAATTCGCCGCTGTTCTCCGCCACCTTCGGCTGTCCGCCCGGCTCTCCGATGAACCCGGTCGACAAGTGCCACGTCTGGGACTAGGGCCTCTGGCGCATCCCTAAACGCACAAGCGGTTCGGCGCCGGCCGCGCGAGCCTCGCTCGGCCCGTTGGTGGTGTCCTCCTCCACTCAGCCTCCCCTCCGGTGTCAAGTACAAGTGGCAATCGTTGCGTCGTCCGTGCGCTGCTGCAGCGCGGAGGATGCGTCGACTGCGAGGAACGTGGTGCGCGGGGCGCGTTCTGAACCCAGCAGCGCTCGCGCGTCACGAAGGGCGCAGCCGTGCGGCTCGGAGGCTTGTTACGACTGAGACGCTGGGTTGTCCGCCTTCTTCTAAAAACGGCATCTGGCTGGTCGATTTTCTTAAAGTGCGTCAGGTTAGTTCCCGTCAGGTGGCGCACGCCGCAGCACCTGCCCTGCCCCGAGGCAACGGGCCGAGATTTTTGCTAGCAGGGCGTTCAGAGGGTGTCCTGGCGGAACTATGTGCGTCACACTGGGCTTGGTGTAGGAACGCGGCGCCGCGTTTGCCGCGCTCGCAGTTCAGCCTCGCACCGTGGCAGCCAGAGGGCGCCCGAGTGCAACCAGAGGGCACCCTAGTGCAGCCTGAGGGCGCCCGAGTGCAGCCAGTGTGCATGCTTCCAGGCCACGCTGGTGACGCAACACGAGAGTGGCCCGTTGATGTGTAGAATTGACTGGGCATCCGGTGCGCCACAGCTGTTTGTTAGCAGTCAGTTGAGACCAGATTGACTTTCCCCTACCACCTCGGTGGTTAATGCCCGCGATCATATGCTTGCGGAATTTCGTGGATCCTTGCTGTTCCTACAAAAGGGCATTTGTACATGTACATATACCTTTGTAGTGATACAGGGTGCCCAGGAGGAGAGAGTTTGGTGCTTATATTCATAACTAGTTTTTAATGCAACACAGAAACGAAATCAGAACGCCAACTGTCACTCTATTCTATGGCACATGCAGGTTGGGAACGAAAGTCTGTCTGGATGAGGGTTATAATGGAGTGGGAAGCCCTGCGGTTTGTGCTGGAGATTGACGCTAATTCGCTTCAAGGCCAGCGACAGTTTAATCTCCTTGATCTGTTCAACGACCTCTCAGCACACCCGAGCCCGACCGGACGAACTTCCTTAATGCTGTCTGCCTTGAGGCCCGTGGTCACTCCGGGTTTGCTCACGTGCACCTTGTCTTACAGATGTCCCAAATAAAAAGCCCGAAGCGCTTACGTCAGCGGAATTTGGGGTCCATGGAAGCTCTGCCTTGTTTTTGACAAGATGGTTTCCAAAATGACTGTGCGGGAGACCCAAGCTTCGACTGGCACTTTTTCGGCATCGCGCCACCTGGTTAAAACCAACGATTCTCTTTGCGCATTCCTGCTCGGCATCCAGATTCGTTCCAAAATTGTTCGAGCACGACCTCACTTGTGCCATGTAACACCCACTAAGTATTCAAAGGATGCAGGCATGCATGCAAGCTTTAAGCATGCACCTTGGTAAACGGCCAAAACGTTTACATTATTGTAGGGAAGTTAGTCTAAATCGAACAAAAACGAGTTGCTAAAAATTCCTGATTGAAAGTAATCGACATCCTTTTAAAGTCCTTGTACATGAACATGCCTTATTTCTATAACTAGCAAGCTTTTAAAACCCTAATGACTAATCAATTCCTTTTGTAAAACAAGTCGTCGTACACAGCTCGGTACTAAGTGGATGCATGACTAAAGTGAGCGATACTACATCGTCATATTCCCTGTCATGCTTTTCTTTTTTGTGTCATATTTCAAGCTTGGGTTCCATAGTAAGCGACTGCAAAGTTAAGCGATACAGGCCTTCAACCCATACTGATATTGGCAGAAGCGCAGTCAAGATCGAACTGTTGATGACGATGTCTCTGAAGACCGCAACACACGACATTTTACTTCACCTGGGCATAGACTATGGCGATGCATCGTCTGGAGCTCCAATACGACTCCTCCCACGGACCTTATGCCCGTGGCATGAGCTAACAACCCGGCTCAAATCTTCTTGGGTCCCGGGCATTGGGCGACATCGAGAGCTGGTGTTTAAACCCAACCCAGCGGCAGCCTCTATCCAGGTCAAGTCGATTAGCTTGCATTGCTGCATGGTTCATTCTCGTCTACTCAAAACACTTGATTAAAGACATTGGGTATTAGCGGCATTGCCTCTGTTTTTAACTCAGAGTCCTATCAGGCTAGCGATTCCTTCAAGTGTGGTAGCACCTACGGCCATAGCGCTACTGCGATGTCAGCAGAACGGCTCTCTGGTAATAGTTCCATCTTTTTGACCTGTCTGTTTGAAGGGGTTATTTTCAGTGCGCTCATTTTCACCTCAAACCACAAGAAGAAAATCTGGAAATCTTGGGCAAGCCTCTGTAAGACGAACCTCTTCAAAAAATCCAAAAAGGTGCGTTTCTGTTTGTTTTCTCACAAAGAACGCAAGCGCGTAACACACATTTTTCACATACGACATAGATTAGGTTTGAACCGTAAGAAAATGACATCGGTTTTCGGCACAAACTTTGTTGCGCAGCAGCAAAGACGCATGCAGTATTTTGTAGCAAGTGCGCACATGTTCGCAGTCCAAATACACTTATTGCGTTGTGGCTGCAAACAACAGTTAGTCATGCTGACATGCAACGAAAAGGCGTCGTGCGTCAAAAAAAAATTCTGGAAGCTCGGCGGGTAGGGGCATATATTAATTCCTGTTGTTGCCAGCTTGGTTATGTTCTATTGCCTTGATTTCCAAGGGTTTTGACGCGTCAACAGGATCGCTCGCAAATATTAAACTATTAGCAGTCAGAAAAAGGTGAAGATCGCTTAAGCTGCTTTGAGAGCATAATAAGCCCACCTTCGAAAACGCTTAAGGCGGAACAATGTTTGTGCTTTGACAACAAAGTTGCGTATGACGCAAATTGACACCAAGAACAAGTAGACACGCTTTTGTAATGGGGCTCTTGCAATCGGGACTTCAAAAATGCGATTGCTGTTGATTGATATGGTCTTAGGACACTGTATAACTTTATAATCGTTATAACATTATCTTGTAGTATATTTTATTAAGCTACTATTCATAATGCGACGATATAACCTTGTTACAACACTTGAAAACATCTTAATTGCAGGGATCCCTATGATGCAACGTTGAATTTATTTATTGAAGGTCACCTGACTCGTACACAACCTTCTTTCTCTTACGACTTGCAGTTTTCATGGCCTCATGGGATAGCGTTTGGTCATTCAGCTGGCTGTGCATGGATGAAACAAAACACATGTACGTCTAGAGACGCGCCGGCTCCCGCTACCCCGTATTTGGCCCCGTGCTTCCCGGTCGCGGCCCAGGTAGTAATCGCAGCATTGAAGCGGCACCAAGAATGCGAAGTGCATCTCCATTTGCTCTCACGATTGCGGTGAGGAATGCATGGTAAAGAAATTTTCTTTACAGACTTGGTGTCCATTCATTCAGAGTTTTGCCCTGATGCCACTTGTGAATATCTTATTGGTGTTTTGACCGTACGCGCAGCTCTATGGTGCATAGCAGCGAGTGAGTGTCTGTACAAAGGGACATGAATTGCGTCATCTTTGTTCTGTGTAATGTTCTGAATCGACTTTTCAAATACACAGAAATGGCTGGGATGTGATTATTTCATATCAAACGCCCGCACGTTATTCATAGACCAATGGTAGATAAAACCTTTCATTATCGTGTGTTGTACTAGCCGATCTCAGATCAGCAAATTGTTTAATTGTAAGCCCATATCTTTTTAAGAAACAGGAATGTATCAACATTCTCTGCTGATTCATACGTCACACTTCTTTGCACCAGGAGTTCCCCTTTAAACTGTACGAATTCTGCTAAAAATTGGCCTGGCCCAATGATGGGCGTGAAGTACCGCTGGTCGGTATTTTCATTATGACGGTGGTTTAACGATTGACGTGATGGGTTCAGAAAAATCATAACTGTGAGAGCATTTCAGGTGTTCGGGATTTATGTGCTATGAAAGACTGTCCTTTTTGATAAAAATTTCCGTTCCTGGACAACTAAAAAGCATGATATTATTTGGTGAACTGAATCCCTTTAAGTAATAAGCCAATTACCCGCGCCCGACCAACCACCGAAAATGGGGATCTTCCAGGCCCCTACACACGATCCCACAATCTTCCCGAGAGCAACGTACAATAAAACGACCTTTCACCAACAACTCTCGATGTACGTTCGACAAGACCTGAGGTCACGTAGTTTATGAGGTCCCATTGGCCAGATTCTGAGTTTAAGCAACCATGTTAGACGAAAGACAAACATTACAAAATAAGAGGACAAGTGAAACGAATTCTGAACAACCAATGCAATATTACATCAAGTCGGCACAACGTAGGCTAGGTCTCTATACCGAGGAATATGCTGTAAAAGACCTGGGGAAGTATTCAAATCCATTTAAATGTGAATTCATAAGGAGAGTCACGTGCTGTTCGCATAATAATGCTTTTGATCGGTGTGATACTTGCCCTTACCTTGAGCCATCGGCCTGAGGAACGATCATTCATATTGGTAGGATTCCATGCATGGCAATGCATCACTTTCAGGCGAAACCATCACCATTATACGTGTATACGTGTGTATATTGTCTTTATGTGGATACGTAGTGGGGGCATTGCAGACAAAACCTAAGTAACCTTAGGTCAGAGAATTTTCCAGGTGGCCAGTTGAGCACCCTCCGCACGGGTGGGGGTCAAATTGACCCTCCCAATATCCCAAAATCTAAGAGAGTTAGAAACATGAAATGCACAGGGTGTGTTGGCCGGTACATGAACTCACTTAAGCCAAATGTTGAGGTTCCTAGGTCATGATCTTGTGGTCAAATAAGACCAAACAAGGTCAACCCAGGCTGGTCTACACAGTGCCCCCAAGCCAGGTGCCTATTTTAAGCAATTAGTGACGCACTTGTTTAAGATCAGTGACCCTGTTCGATAATTCGAAGGCCATGGTGTCCAAAATCATACAGGACTGCTTTGAGTTTTGCATTTCAATAAGCGACAAAGATTATGCTAGGCATTATGTTCCTAAATAAAATGTTGACCTGGGCCATTTTAGCCCAGCTACCTATTCTTCGAAATGAGCACCAAAAACTACTCTACACAGCAAGCCCTAGAGCAATAAAAATAGGCTGGTTTTGAACTTGTCTGACCCTCATACCTGACCCTAGTTCAATGGACTTTGTGTTGAACATCCACATCCAAATGTTGTGTTGCCTAAGAGTGTATTTCACAGATGGTTGGCTTCGTTCAACACTCCGTTGTCGCATCAGATAAAACGATTACCTGAAAATTAACCTCGCTGAATCCATGGTCTGACTTTGACCTTCCGAAGACCAGCGACCTTACCAGGTACATCCAAATTTTTGAAACCAAACGATCCGCTTTCAATTGTCTACAATAACGCAAAATCTGACGCGGCTACATCGCGGGTTCGGAAGCCATTTCGGAAACAACCCTCGGGGAGGGGGTCAAATTGACCCCACCCGAGCGCGTGCCAATAGCGAGCTGCCGTGCTTGCGCTTAATGATAACTTCTTAGAAATTTTTCGGGGACTGCATAATTCGGCCCAGAATAGGCCAGTGATCTGGGATGACCTGGGATACATAATTCATATTTCACGTTTCATGTGGAGAAATATGTATGAAGTAGCAGAAGTGTCATGACCCATTTGTGCCAACCCTTGTATCAGCATTGAAAACTGACAAGTAGCTTTCAAGAGCCCCCAGCTCAGGTCAGGCACAAGTTGATACTGTTGACATCTGGGGAAACGAATAAGGTGACTCACAATTTTTCAGCTCACTCCAATCAATAAGAGTTACACTGTTTCGCTGAACTTGATTTCAGCAAATCAGTTAGCAGGCAAGGCAATGGGGATCGATACACGGGCACTGATCTCGACGCCGGATTCCGAGCACGACCATACATAAGGCCATGCCCGTCCGCCACGACTCCAACAACACTGATACGACTCGTGCCGCATTTTTTCATGATCACAATTGTTTGGGGCAGTCCATTAGTCCGTGAGGGGAAGTCGTTCTCTGACCAGCCGCCGCGCTCTCAATCCCGCGCCCGCGGTACCCGTGCCACCGTCGAGTGTTCACTTTCACGACCCCCGACCGTGAAGTGAACTCTTCCGATGCGGCGACAGAGTCAGCCTTGAGCGAGTGGATCACTTTCCTTCAACCCCCGTCGCGGGTGCGGCGGCCGAGGCGGCGGAAACTGTGCCGGCACGTCTAAGTGGGCGACAGGACGCGGTGAAAGAGGTGACCCCGTTTATGCGCGGGGCCGCAACAACCGGCCTCCTTCACGAGGGGGGGGGGGGGGGCGGCGAAAGCGAACGAAAGCGAGCCGTCAGGAAAGGACAGCGGAACAGGGGCAGCGTTGGAGGTCGAGGTCTCGCACGACGAAAGTGGGTCTACTCTCTCTTGGGGACACAGTGCCTGCGAGTGCTCTGCGGAGGCATTCACTTGGCTTTCCGTTGCCGCGTCAAGCATGTGGCTGGAGCGAGAGTTGTAACTTCAGGGTCGCGCGGACAGTGGTTGGTCAAGAGAGTCCAGCAATTCGTCAAAGCGAGCGGCGGGAACAGTGTTGGGACGGGAGGAGAGAGGTGCTTGAGTCGGAATGACTCACCCTGCAAATACCCCTCTATCACAAGCCTGCGAGCCTACAAGACTACCGCAAGCCTACAATAGTGACGCAGACGTTAACCGATTTGTTTCCGGTCAGATGGGGAAATGAAGTCTCAAAATTGGAGCGGGGGAATATTTCACCCGGAGGAAATTTAGATTTACAAAAGGAATGGTTTAGTACTACCGCAAAATGGTGCTGAAAACTGGTAGTAGGACTGGAAAAGTGCAAGACAAAAATATATATTTTTCGTGCCGCTGTACCGGTTAAGCTGTTTAAGAGGCCATCCTCGAAGCCTTACTCACGACATATACGTCCCAGTCTTATCCTAAAACGATGCAGATTGGTTTAAAATACTTTCAGAGGGAATATTTGACAACGGCCGTTTTCGCGCACCGCTCGGTGTTATCTGCAGCGGCCAACGCTGTTCGATTTAATGGGAGCTGCAACCGCAGCCCGTCGGTGTTCTTGCTCTTAAGGTAGCGAGCATATGCTTAAAACTGCTCAGTTTGTTTCACTAATCAATTCTCGTTTTACCCTTTTAGCCTTTTTTCATTCTTAACCTCGTTTCGGCTCACTAGATTGAGCATTCATAAGACTCTTCCTTTTGTCTTGGCGGCGAGAACCTTGTTATTGTGGTGTGCTCGATTCCCTATTGTCGCCATCGTCTCGATGATATACGTTCTGATGTTTCGGCATGTTGAACTATGCTCCCATATTTTATGGATTTGGTTTAAAAGATACCGTTTTCAGGTTTATGTGCCAGAACTATACAGAAGTTCTTAAATGCGAAGCTCTATCCCCGTAGGTATCAATTTCTTTTCTTCGGCATCCTATTTTTATGTCATAGGCAGTTTAAGAACTCGATTTAGTTTTGAATTTGACTTCAAAAAGTTCGAAATCATTGCATATTGTAATGCCGCTACGTGGTTGGTGTAAGCTGCCGTTCACCTTACAGCGACTTTGATCCACCTGCTTGGAGCGGTGCTACGAACAGCGCAATGAGATACTGTGGCGTCGAATCCGTCGCGGGTGACGACCAGCTGGCTTCCACCACAGAGGTGCAGTTTTGCAGAACAGGTTTGAGGTGCTAAAAAGGGAATATCGCCACACCTGTCCACAAATACACTAAGGCTTTCCCTGGATTTGACCTCTTCTCTCAGCTGACAAGGAAACCACACATCTGCTTCAAGACATTTCCTCTCTCTGTCTCGGTGGGAGATGTTGTCGTCGGCATCATTATCATTTTGTTCGGCCTGGATTGTCAAAACCAGGCTTCGGAAATCGACGCAGGGTCGATGTTATGCGCGTTTAGACGTTATTGGACATGGATGACTTCGGGAATAAAGACAGTAAGTTTATGCACGAGACTACCAAGGACTGCCTGGGAAACCCTCCGGAGACAGCCGCAAGACGTACTTCAGGCTGAACGCAACATTCACGATAGGCGTGTTCGAAACGCCTGGCGTTGTTTTGCTGATCATTGTCGGACGCTTACCACAATCGGTTTAGTCGCGTTGTGTTGATCACCAGGTTTTCGTAACTGTTTCATTGCATATCGACGTCGAAGAAGAGCTCGGCACATTTTAAGGGCTCTTCCGAACGTAGCGACTGGTAAGTTCTTCACGTTCTTGGGCGGTGGTATTCCACCGGCTTATCTTAACTCTTCGGTAGCATGTCATGGCAGGACATCACAGCGAACGCAGCTTGCTGCAGCCCATGGACTTGTTTTTGAAATTGTTCGACAAAACAATGCAAAATGCGGCAAAACAGCAAAGGCAACGAAAGAACAACAATAAGTGAGTACTCGGACGAGAAAGTGTGAATGCAGGTGTGAGCTAATTAGTCAGGAAATCGTGAGTAAAGGAAGAGCTAGTTTAGGTGTATGTGTGTGTGTGTGTGTGTGTGTGTGTGTGTGTGTGTGGTGTGTGTGTGTGTGTGTGTGTGTGTGTGTGTGTGTGTGTGT